GTGCAGTGGCATGTTCATGGCTGCTGATACATCTACCTGCTGGGCTCAGGTGATTCTTCTGCCTCAGCCTTCCAAGTAGCTGGAACCACAGGTGTACGTCACCATGCCCAGTAAATTTTTTGATTTGCTGTAGAGACAAGGTCTCACCAAATTGACCATGTTGGTCTACTCCTGGGCTCAGGCAATCCTCTCACCTCTGCCTTCCAAAGTACTGGGATTACAGGCATGAGCCACCATACCCAGTTCTAAATCTTTTAAGAGATGGAGGGAACCAAGGAGGTCCTCCAATCCAGGGCTGGCTTACCTCTTACCTTTCACTGGAGCCCCATCCTCATGGAGGGTGGGTGGATGATTAATTATGAGCTATCATGCTCTTTAAAGATATTCACTAGGGGAGAGATCAGCCTGGGTTGTTAACCTCGATTCCATTAGCAAAGGTGACACTTTAAAGCATGGTGAAGCCAAGCTCACACTCAAATCCTTTTACTTTTTTTCTTAAGAGATAGGGTCTCACTATGTTGCCTAGGCTGGTCTTGAACTCTTGGGCTCAAGAAATCCTCCTGCCTCAGCCTCCCAAAGTGCTGGAATTATAGGCATGAGCCACTGCGCCTGGCCTCAAATCCTGTTTCCTGGGCACTGGAACTGTGATCATTTCAGCATTACAGCAGGGAGAAGAAGGCCTGGGAGGCAGGAGACCTGGTATGGAGACCCCAGCTCTGCTCACTCACTGCATAAACTGGGGCCAGTCTCCCCTTATCACACCTCAGTTTCCCCTTATGTAGGGGTTGGACAGTAGTAACTCTTGATGGTCCTGCCAACTCTGACATTCCAGGATTCAGATTCTATTCTATAGTCACTTTAACAGTTTTTTTTTTCCTCCAGAGTCTCACTCTGTCACCCAGACTGGAATGCAGTGGGCATGCTCATGGCTTCTGCAGCCTTGACCTGCTGGGCTCAGGTGATCCTTCCACTTCAGCCTTCCAAGTAACTGGAAATATAGGAGTGCGCCACCACGCCTGGTTAATTTTTTGATTTATTGTAGAGATGAGGTCTCACCATGTTGCACAGGCTAGTCTTGAATCCCTGGGCTCAGGCAGTCCATTCACTTCTACCTCCCAAAGTGCTGGGATTATAGGATTATAGGTGTGAGCCACACTGCACCTGGCCTGAACAGTAATTTAACTGGAATTTTCCAGATGGCAAAGCAGATCTAAAAAAGGCCCAGTCTCCCAGTCCCTCCCTTTGCTCTTTGTTACTCTCCAGGGCAAGAATCCTGGTCTGAAATAAGGCTTCCATCACCTCCAATGGTTCCCAATTACCTAAGGATAAAGCCTTAAATCTTCAGCCTGGCATTTAAAACATCCCAAATCTTATTTGCACTTCCCACTGCAAGGCCTTTCTCACCATCTCTTAGATTTCGTTTCTATCCTCACTACTAAACCTTCGCCCTTGCTATATACCCCCACACCCTAATATGTTTTCCTGACTCTCATCTCCTTCAAGGTCCAGCTTATCTGCTCTTTTGTATTTATTTATATTACTTTTTTAGAGACAGGAGTCTCCCTGTGTTGCCCAGGCTGGTGTTATAATCTCAGCCTCAAGGCATTCTCTCACCTTTGCCTTCCAAGGAGCTGGGATTACAGTGGTGATCCCCCCACCTGTAAAAGGGCTAGGGGTTGCATCCTACTTATTCTTCTCCTACCTCCCTAGAGGTAAGCATGCACTGGCTTTAGCCTGCTGCACTCAGTTGAGGTCTTTAGTCACTGGGATTTTCCTATCTTGTCCGGCAGCATCCTGGGACTCTAAGCTTCCATTGCCAGGACTGGGAGGGGCTTAGTGACTAAGCTAGTCAGGCCACCCTCCTCTTTGCCACAGAAGGAAGTACAGCCTGGGTTCGAACTCAGATCCTGGCCCTACCACTTAGAGGCTGTGTAACCTTGAGCAGATCACTAACCCCATTTTTCAAATGTGTCAGGCTCCACATTTGAAAAATGGGGAGACCACCTGTGTCCACCCACGGGGTGGGTCCTGAGAATTAAATAGGGTGATGTCTGTACAGGCCTAGCACTGGGCCAGCTCCTAGTAGGTGTGTCCTAAATGCTACTCGTCTCAGACTGGCCACCCAGATCCTTCTCTCCTGTTAGGCAGTCTTTCCAAGGCCAAATCTCAGGGTGGGGGCGCAGTTTTGCAGCCCGGGGTGTGTGTGTGTGTGTGTGTGTGTGTGTGTGTGTGTGTCTGGGCCTGGGGTGTGTGTGTGTGTGTGTGTGTGTGTGTGTCTGGGCTGTCGCCAAGGGCTGGACTCGATCCTCTGCTGGCAGTGCAGCCCCAAGCGCAGGGTGTGGACTCGCAGAACCCCGGGCCAGGCTGGAAAGGAGCGGGCGGGGACGGGCCTGACTCGACCCTGGGGGACGCGGCCTCCCGGTTCTCCACCCACTAAGTGTATTTGCTTTTGCGGTCCTTCTCAAGCCAGATCTCTAACGTGGATTCAGTGGCGTTTTCTAGGGTGGAGCCGCATCGCCTGTGCAGCCGCCATCACCGCGTCCCCTCCCGCGGCTCCGCAGTCTCCAGCCTGGCTCGCCCCGCGCCCACCTCCACCTCTGCGGCGGTAAAATGCAGCACTTGCAGAGCGCTTGCGCGGCCTTCGGGCGGGGCGGTGGCGGCAGTTATTTATAGTAGGTGACGTCACCTTGAAATAGACCGTTAGGGTCGGCCCGCCCTTCCCCCCTCCCACTCCCGCCGCTCCCCGCCGCCCGGCCCGGTCGCTGTCACTGCGCAGGCGTCGCCCCGTCCTCCCATCCCCCCGCGCGGCCGTCTCTCCTCCCTCGGCGGCGTCCACGGCGCGAGCCACAGTGCGCGGGACGAGCCAGCGAGAGGGCGCGAACCGCGGCGCTGCCTGCATCCTGCAGCCTCGGGCCGGCCGGCGAGCCAGTGCGCGTGCGCGGCGGCGGCGGCGGCGGCGGCCTCC